TGTCGTAAATACTGGGTAGTCTGTCTGTTTAACTCTCGTGTCTCGTAGCCAAAAAAATGTTATTCCGACAAACAAATTGATAAAAAGACATCAAAAATGTGAACGATGTAAAACCCTAATAACATCAGCATTATTTCTTCTCATTAGCTGTCTGTTTACTGCATTGTACGCCCCCTTACCCTCTTATGTAATTGTTACTGTTATGTAGGCGCCTTGCCTGATCTCAAGCCGGTATAATATATATATATATATATATATATATATATTCGGAATAAATTTTCTCCATCCTCACTGTCCTGTAGCAAAAAATAATAACGAGTTAGCAAATTTATACAACACGCGCACAACTTGGATACCAGCGAATCCGGTCAGAGTTACATGCATACGTATATGGTGGTTTGTTGACCCATTATGTGCCCTTTTGCAAGCCTCTTTGATTACATCGCGACGTCCGCAAACGGTGCTACGGCAGTGACGGCGTACGCATGTATCTGCTGCGTCTTGACTACAGCATATGGACTGGTGAGATAAGGCGTAACCGGTAGAATTGAGCTAATTTGTGACCACAGAGTCATTGAGTATCATTAGAAGACGAGGGGAATGGTCCAGTATTGATTGTCTCAACTGCATGGCTAGTTCAAGTGCTGTTATCGGGTGGAAGGTACTCGGTGAAGACAGTAAGAGTGCAAAACGTGGAGTGTGACTCGCTGGTGTTGGTGTCTTGGACCGTCTAACGTTTCTGGAATGGGTGCGACAATTTTAGAACGGCTTATTATTCTTATTAGGGCGGAGGAATGAAAACACGGTATCATCAAGATAAACGTAACTATGTCTATTTGAGTTGAGTTCAAGCCATTGGTAATTCAAGAGAATCATATATAAGTCCACGTGAAGCCACCAAGTTTTGCACAATTACCAAAGTGCAGATCATATATCCCCTTGCTCATATAGTAAATACGGTTTGGAAGATGCATGACTGACCATATTCTGCATTGGTAACTTGGGAAATATTAGGAGGTAGAAATCGGATGTTTTGTTAAGTGCTTTGAGAAACAAAGGAAATAGTGAGCGTAAATTTACCGCAGAATCAATTGAAAATACTCGATTGGGACATCAGAACACTCGGTAGAGAACAAACTTTTTTCGGTGCTTTACAACTGGTTAAATACAGCACATTTGATAGGCATGTAAATCAAAATAATAAAAGAAAGAACAAGAAAATTGGTGATTTCGGTGACAAAAAATGACAGTTTCGTGACAGTACTATAGATTTCACGAGAGATAGTATGTGTTGATAACTGTGATGCAGAATTTTCTTTAGCTGTCGAATTGGAAAGAAAAGTTAGCCCAATTTGCGCACGCAATTGACGGCATGAGAATATCAGTGCTTAGCGTCATTCCGAGATAATTTAAAGATAAAACTTGGTGTAATCAAATAGTGCGCAGGGTATACTTGTCGTTCGAGGAAGATGGTCGAGATGTATAAAGATACATTCGGAACACTTGGAGGGGTTTAGGGAAAGATCAAGCCTTACAGAATGGCTCGCAGTGGTTTGAAGATTATTAGATAGGTAATTTATTCCACTTCGGTTGAAACAGTATGAAAAGTGGTTACGGTATCAGCATGACTAATTGCGGTTCCGTGGGAACAAGACGGCAGGTCGATAACTTTGATGTGAGAAAATGCTCGAAAGAGCAGCAGCTTTAAGGGTGCGAAATTTATTTATCAAGATTTTGGATGACCTACCGACAAATCTAGTTTTTGGAATACGTCCCGAAAAGTGGTCCGTATGTCATGTCAATAAACTAAGTGAGCAACCGGACGAATGAGGCTTGTGTGTACCAGTGGTCTTGGAATGAAGTTATTGTTTGAAGAATAGTCATTTAATATGTAATTAACTGGTTTAACAGAGTCATTTTGCAGTAGATTGTTACAATGAAGTACACCATTTTCGGCATTGTTTTGGAGTTAGGTGCAATTATTCGGAAATGCCACCCGACTGTCTGTTTGAGATTTCGTCTTCGATGATCTTAAGACCGACATATCAGTCACTCTTGCATATTTCGCGTAAGTGGTCACCCCATGCGTCCATCATCTGTGCGTTGCAAAACAATGTATGTCCACAATTACATACGTGGACTCAACCTTGTCGTGACCGGAGCTAAAAGACTCAATAGCTATCACGTAACCGAACTACTCAAAGACCGTGTTGAACTGCGGTGTATCATTTGTGTGCCAAGAGAATTTTTATCAACGCGCGGTGACAGTGAAGATTGATTGAAATTAGGATACATTTGCTCCATGGTAACCGCACTGTAGCTCTCGTTTCCCATTGATACCCTCGAAGTCAGTCTCTGACCACAGTGTGACTTCACCCTCTTTGTCCATTTCGCCAACTTGGGACGCGTAGCGCCGACTGAGAGACTTGCTTCTGTCTGCTGGTCTTATTAATGATCGGTTCTCGACCACTTGGTTCGGTCACGTGATAGTTGCTCAACCTCTTAGCTCTGGTCACGACAAGGTCGAGTTTATGTGTGAAACTGTAGACGCACATTGTTGTCCAGTGCACAGATTACGAGAGCATGGGTGGTCACCTACGCGAAATATGTAAGGGTGACAGATACTCCGGTCTTCAGATCATTCAGAAGGAAATCTCAAACAGCAAGTCAGCTGGCATTTCTGAATAATTTTGACCTAATTTCGAAACAGTGCTGCAAGTGTTGTAGATAGGATACATCATATCAATATATTTGTGTGATGTTCCAGTGGCACGCGTACGTGTTATGATTTTTATTAAAAGGAAAACATCAGTGCTCCGGTATTTCCATGATACAATACCTCGGTCTGCTTTCGAGTAACACATCACTTAGTCATAAAGGATAACCCAGAATAATTGGTTTAACGTCAAAAATTACCATAGTAATAAAAAGGTCGATTCGAAAAATAGTTCACATAACACGACACAATGGGATATTTCCAGTAAAATGCTACAGTTCTTATTTAATTTTTTGGTGCGATGTAAAATGAAATGACGTAATTTACTACTCTTATCCCACATCATTTATCCTCAACATAAGAACAAGACGCTAGAGAGCGAACAATTGTTTTCAATGAATCCTATACGTGCTCTTACTATTCATACGGGTGAGGCAGCATTGGATGGCATTAGCCATTGGCCGGAGTAAAGGTCATTGTCGTGGCGTTAGGAAAAAGGGGTTGGTGGGGAGGAGTGTCTCTATCGTGTGCGGGTTGTGGTGGGAGTTTCACTCCCACCGTCACGAGTGGTAATCGATGGTGGACTTTTGGGGTTCGGTCGGCGGTCCGTGGTTTCCGCCATCATGCAGCTTCAACACACGATGAATCATATTACACAAATCTAATCTCCTACTACTCAACTGCAAATAGGAACCAAGCTCTATGGGTTATTCATAACGGAATGTCTTCGTTGTACTTAGGCCCCTACAGAGAAGCCATCGATCATGGGAGTCGATCGCTGTGCGGGAAGCGGGTTGTTACTGTTCAAAGCCAGTGATGGAAGGGTGCTATATCATGTAGTGTAGATTTTCACCAAACCATTGAGATCCAGCCCGGATAGCCTTGTGGTTAAGGTGTTCGATTTACAATCGTCCACCCCGGGTTCGAGTCCCCATGGGGGCTCGGTGGATGTGCACTGCTGATGATTCCCAACGAGGATGAGACAGCTGTACAGTGCTTCCATGGTTTTCAATGGTGAGTTGAGCATTGAAGCTGCATGATGAATCATTATACAAATCTAATCTCCTACTACTCAATTGCACATAGGATTCATTGAAAACAATTGTTCGCTCTCCAGCGTCTTGTTCTTGATGTGACCATGACCGTGGAACTATTCTGATTACCCTCACAATGTTATCTTTTTGATCGGAAAGTAGCACCTTCCTTAGAACATAGCCATGGAATCGCAGAGGGGAATATCAAGTGAGGCTACAGATTAGTGAACAAAGACGACAATAGCAGATTTTGGTACAGCAATCAGCGAAGAAGGAAATCGAATGACTGAGGATGAAATATTGAGTCCCCACATAACCCATCAGATGGCTGTCGTGTTCAATGCAGTTCGTAACCAATTGATTTAACACAACATACAAACGTACAAAGCACCCAGATGGCATGGACATCTCAGCACACTAGCATATTCACTTGGAAGACGTTGACGGGACTGAAAAACGTAAGCAACAGTGTCATTGATCCTTCGCTCACGGACACGTTCCATCGGGTTTTCCTCCCAATCCATAGCAACTGATTGGATTGTTACTGACAATATTCTCAGTAGCACGAACTGGAATTTGACCGAAATCCACAGTCACTGGACAAATTTACAGACTACATAGTGACGTTTACATTACTTAAACTGATGAGCCACAAAGTGGTAAGTTGCGAACTTCGGTCTCCTCAGGATATCTAAAGAAATTTTGACCACACTATGCGTGCGCGAGCCTAAGCTTGCGTTTAACTGGCGAAATCGGACGCACCTGCGTTCAAATTCCGTTCGCTGTTCGTCACTAGAACATTCTATAGGTTGACTTTAACGGGACGTCATGGTCACAACTACGGTATTTTTAGGTCTGGGTCAGACCCACTTCATTACAGTCGAATCTCCAGGTTGATTAAAAAAACTCACCTATTCAACGCTACTTTTTTCAGGTGATTTTTTGCCATATAATGCATAGGTGCATCAGCATTTTTCCCAATACCAATTGGTATGTTTAGGGGAATCATTAGACACGTACACTTTCGGACAAATTTTTCCGTAAATATTTAGGATTTCAAAATTGTTCGTTTCTTCATCCCAAACTCCTATTTTTCAATCACATGTATATTTTCAGATTGGTAATCAAATAACCTTTTGTGCAGTGTGTAGGAGTGAATGAAAAAGTCCTAATTTGTCAATAACGAGTCTGTTTATGAGTTGAGTACATGTGAAAAAAACAATGAGAAAGGCGACCATTGAAAGACTGACCTGTGTAAACTGCTTGATCGATACTGTACAGTTCTTCATCGGACGATTTATTCACAATAGCTTCCTGGTGGTCAGCATGCTCTTTTGCGGTAGAATCAATCTCAGCTTCCAAAACAAACTGCCGGAGCATTGAGTCCACGGTAGGGACTGCTAGGATCATGCCCAATGTCTCCTCGCTCACAACGGCTCCTGAAGCAGCTTTTCCCGAAACCGAATAATCTGCGGGGGTCGTGTCCAATAGTTCCATCTTGATAAGAAAAGAAAATCAAAAAGAATGAGATTCACAATCAGCTCCTGTTTACAAAATATCAGTCACTTAATTGCTTAAAACAACTAATCAATCAGTCAATCAATCTCGAGGTGTCCGGCCAGTCAGTCGACAAACTCGCTAGCCGGACTAACTGATCGATCAGTTGACCGATCCAGTAAATTCCATCCTACATTTTCACTTACTTGTGTGGGTCGTTTGAGTCGTTCAAACCGTTCTGCTTGAAGAAGCAAGTTGTGCTCCAAAGCCTCGTGTCTCTGGATCAAAGCAACAGTAGATTGGATGGAATCGCCTGTTTCGTTCACATGCAGATCAGCTTCATGAACTTCCAACCATTGTTCCGCTGCATCTGCTTCACTATAAAAATTGTGAAAATTAGTCAGCGAGAGGAGAGAGTGACAACATTTGTCCGAGAAAGGCACAACTACAGACAAATGGCTTTGTTAATCATACTCATCGAGTATGCATTTTGAAGCAAATGACCACCTGAATGACTGAGACACAAAGAATAAATCTTTCGAAGAAGTTTCGCAAACTCACCAGTTCGATTGACTGTTCTGAACTGTCCCACTAACCCGATATAGATGACTTTTCTGCTGCGAATTACCTCAGTTTGTTAGTTGAGAATGCACTGTTTATATAGAAAGTAGGAATCACTGTCGCGAATCATTTCAACACAGATCAATTGGTTCAACCTTGTATTGGATAATCTCTCTTCTGATTGGTTGATTGGTGATATAGCCTCCCGACGTGAATGATTTCTCGTTTTATCGATCCGCAGTCCTATAGATTGCGAATACGCTGACTCAAGCCTTGACCTGGATTGTGGGCAGGTGGTGACTTTCTCTCTGCTAATGGGACTTGGCTTTCTATCGACCATGTGTCAGTCCTAAATCTCGCAGTATCCGCATCAATTACGACATTATTCAGTTGTTCGCATCAAAACGTTCACGCAGTGAGCCGAAATCGAACCTGCGGCTTTCAGCTGGTACAGCGAATTTCCGGTAAACGAAAGGTCACAGATTCGATTCTGACTCGCTGCGGAAAAGATTGGTGAGTTTTCCAGTGTTTATATGATTTCGACTCCTCAAGACTCTAAGAAGTTCTACTTCAATGCTACTGGACTGGAAAATAGAGTCGTTGAACTAAAAGTCAACATCTTTTTCGACATTTCCATTCTATGATTGAGTATTATCAAAGGTAGACGACTGATCTGCACTTTTGATGATTCACTAATTGCCAACGTGTTTCAGATCCTCTGAATAACAATTTTCCGCTCCAAAATTGCCACTATGAATTGCTGGTTCACGGCAAGCAAATCAATGTATGCTTTACTTTATTTTGTTTTATATAGTTAGTCAATGAAGTGCAGCATCTCTCTTCATGTTTTATATTATTGTTCATGCCTTCAAATGGTTTGAATCTCGCCATGGCTCGTCACTTTAGTGAAAGATATTAATCCGCTATCTCACGACTTGTTTCCACAATTGAGCTACTGGGACGTTATCTGAATCATCACTACAAGTCTGAGGTTTCACAGCTGCCTCAATAGGGCAGTGATCTTCACAGGCCATGGGGCATACCCCTTCCACTGCACTCATGCGTAAGCATATATACATATATATATATATATATATATATATATATATATAACAGAAAACCAAACCTATCACAGGATAGCTAAAATTGTACAGGAATTCTACTCCGTGAATTTCTGAGCTACATCCGAGACACTCACACTGATATATAGTCACTGATTGGTTAAGCCAAAGTCGCTGATTCAAATCCTGGTACAACTGGTCGACTTCCAGCTCCACTGTTCCCAACCCTTTACCACGGCTGACCTGTTTGGCTCCATGTGTCTAATCATCACTCCTAAAGTCACTGTCATGGCTACTGACCATCTACCAGAAGCACTAAGAAATAAAATGACTTTCATGTACGTCCCTCCCATGGCATCCTATATGGTTTGTCTGTGCAAGGATTGTCCCGCTTCTTGGTGTCAGTTTTATCCGTGTACACAGGCGGACAATATGCCAGGTGAAATGCACTTCACGAGACTTCTGGGAACAGCCTTTGGCCTCTCATATTATTATGCTGATTTGAAATTTCTCGAAGTTTTTACAACAAAAATTTGATTTGAATAACTGCACCCAGCAATGCTAATTTCAATTAAGTAATGCTTACAAATCAGTCTGTGCTCTGAGGTCTGCTGTTCTCGACTTCTAGGACTACGTTGACCGACAACACCAGTTATGTGCGGTTGGGGCCGTTGACTCTATCGGACGAAAGAAATAATACACGGATAAGACACAACGAAATGCGCACTCACATGCAAGGAGAAAGACTGTCAATACAATTCGCCAAATCACTTTCACATATACATAAAACCACTGTTCACATACCGGTCAGTAGATGAAGACCACTGATGTGACAATGGTGACCAAGATACTTGGAAGAGGGGAGCGGGTTTCATCCTCAAGTAAGTCCACTTGACTAAAACTTCCCATCAAAGGACAGGCACACCCACACGGAAATACATGGGAACGGATACACATAAAGACATCAAGACAAGCAATTTAGTCATAGCATTCACTCATTCAGCTGAGAACAGGGTTCTGTTAGGATCGAAATGTTTCAATGAACATCATGCCCGTGGTGACCGAAACGTCGACAACCTACCAACGATCTCGACTACGCTGTGGTATTGAGCAATAAAATTCTACCATAACATTTCACATGGCGCATCGATTTTTCGATACACTCCGAACCGATTTCGGTTCTGACACATTAATCATGCAACTCACTTCATACCTTCGTTTTCATGCTAAGTATTTGCATAATATGCGCATGCGTTGTGATATATCACATTTTCTCTAATAACTTACGAGGCGAACGATGCCGCACATAGCTGAAATTTCAATCGTTTGCACACTTCACACCAAAACTGTTGCAGTTCACACCACCTGGTGATTACATCGATCATATTCCGCTTCACTTCATTCGATGAACCGAAAACGGGGGCAGAAGACGTGTGCGCGGTTGAAGGTAAAGGTGATGGCGAGAGCGGGGTTAAATCTGAGTTAAAAACGACGAATCCCGACTCTGATGCTCCGGGTCCTTTGTTCTCGTGACCAATCGTTTCATCATCAGTCAGGTCATCACTGCCGGCCACAGACTGGTCTGACTTGATCTCACTGCACCTTGTAGATGAAGACGATGGTCTTTCCTGCCCGGACGAACTATCCGCACGCGAACTATTCCTTCTATGTCGAGACTCGATTGCTTTATGCTCATCTCGTTCAGCGGAAATCGTTTGAGGATCCTCTCCAACCGTAGGTCTGCTGAGGAGACTGTCCGGTGAGGTAGGTGCCTCGCTCGAATTCATATCTAACTGATTGTCGATCACAATAATCGGTGTCGGACGTCGTGGGTTCGGGGTTTGCATGCTCCCATAAGTCTCTTTACTCTGATTGAGAAATGTGTGATACAACTGTTCGCCGCTGCGCAAACACGACAGGATCGATTCTTTGCGTGCATTCATCTCCGTATGATAATGAAACAAGAGCGCTAGACTAGCACGAATCGATTCTGTGGACCTGATTGGTTTGGAAACGAAGGATCAAGAAGGCGACGAGTTAGGTACGTTTGCAATAATAGTTGTAATGATAGTAATTACGCTGATTACTGGAAAAATATAGTAAATCTCTGTCACACCCAGATTGCTTTGGGCACTGCTTAGCTGAAATAGCACAAATACGTTAAAAAAACTTCATCCGAACTTTGCTGAAATAGTCTAGTCAAAAAATAAATATCTGTATGACTATTTGAGAGGATGAAGAAGCTGGTGAATGATATAGTCTACTAAATTTCAAACCACCAAAAACTCATAAAATCTCTGCTTTTCTTAGCTTTCCATATCTTTTGTTATTTTCTAAGTTGTAGGTTCTTGGCCGGAGCATCCAGCTTTCCCAAGACAGTGCTATTAGTTCAGGGGAAAGTACCAATTTCCCTAAAGGTTGTGCAACTAAATAGTATTCATGTACACTGTTGTTCTACTGCTTCAGCATCCCCAAACTGTCTACCACTGGTTCATTTTTACTATTTATTTTGTTTTCATATTTAGTAACAAGGTCATCTGATGAACATTTTATAATTTTGTCTCGAGTACCTAATTTGGTTTCCATGAGAACATATCTAGCGTGTACTGTAATTTGTTTTCTCACAGCACCTAGTGGATGAATTGGCTTCGAATATGGCACCGGTGAATCACTGTTTTGTTCACGAATTGTGCTGCTACGAACTTGATCATTCAACAGGATTTAGGCCGCGTACATGTTTTCCCGTTGTTATTCGAACTTTTCACATCGTCACTCAGAACTGTAACAACCTTTCTAATCCCAAAATGTGATGTCAAGGATGGAACCCATCAAAACTCACATATGTTGCCTTGGTAGCAATAATAAAGCGTCGATATTGACGAGGGTGCAACAAGACCGAGTGCTTTTGGGATTTGAGCGGGGCGCTCTTCCCGAAGCTCATTTGACCACCGCCGCTTATCAGAAGAAATTTGTTTAAATATCTTTTACTTGGCACAATACAACTTTAAAAAAGCAAATAAGACAGAATTCTTTTTTTCTTCGTTTGTTACGCGAAGATGTGCAACACTTCTGTAAGGGGGTCGCGGCTAATAAGAGGCTGCCAAATGGGAACTGGAAGTGTTTGCCATTCCACAATCTTCAAATTGCACAACAAATCACATATAAAAAAGCAACAGTAATAATCCGGGTAATCAGAACCGCTTTATAACCATGTAGAGGAACTAATTGGTGATGGATTCATTGACTACGACTCGTCTATGTAACATCAAGCTCTAGCGAAGCCTTTCAAATGAATCAGATGTTACGGACATCTGTGGTATAGCTAGAGAAAGAAGAGGTGGAGCTCGATAATTTGAAAAGCTTTAGTTACAAGTACACATGATCGATGTTATGCAATCAGCAATCGTCCTTTTGTGAATTAGACAGTAGAAGCAACCTTCATGTAATGATTTCCCTGGCCTCCCTCAGCGAAATCAGTGCTTTAGTGTAAGGGGTCAACTTATGATCTCATTCCTCTATGTCTCGTTTTGTCTCTAAAGTCTTTTGTCCTTTATCCACGCGGCTGGACTGGTGACCACCGTAAGCCTTGGAAAACAAATACTCAATGAAATAATTCATCACTCGCGTTTTTCATACGTGCCATAGTCAATACATGGTTGAAAGTGAGGGACCGACACGAACATTCATCCCCCACAGGCAGGCCCTTGCACAGACTCTCGTACTTAACAACCAGTATGTAGCTCAAACACGAAGGAAACCATCATTTTGCTTGTGTGTCATGTCGGGGTGGGCAGATTTCATTTCATGACTTGAACACAAGTTTACGGTGCCTAAAGGCCGTCGATAAAAATGACGATAAGTTCTACACGCCATAAAGGGTTAACAGTTCAGACAAAACTTCATTCTTGTTTGGTAAAGCACGAGCAGAACGACGGAACTACGACAGATCTGTGCAGCAATCATTTTGGAGGAATTAGTTTAAAACAGAGAACGGATCAAGGGGTGAGATCGACTGAGCAAAAGATCACAATGCAGTAGACGTGGACGGTCAGAGAAGCTCTTTTCGGCAACCACCTTGGATACTATACTGTGCTTATCATATAAGTTTGACACGAGGTCTCTCAAGACTATGCCAGAAACAAAACTGATGATGTATAAACCTCTACGAAGAGTGATGTAGTCCTTTTCAATCAGACTAGGGAAAAGTACGGGAGAGTAAAACAGACTTATGGGGAGTATACATTGGCGTACGTAATATGGAACAGTAAGGATGGCTGTTAACAATCAATCAGACAATCTATCTCCCACGAGTCCCAAAAAGTATTCGTCAACTCTACCGTTGTTACCAACCGAGTTCGCCAGCGGTTCAAATGGGAGTGAGTAGCGTGGGATTTCCCTAGAAGGGTATCCCGTGCATCAGAAATGTGCGCCATTTGACGTGATTATACTTGGAATATAAAATAAATCTTTTCTTAGAGTAGAAATGTCAATATGCCTTGGTGAGAGCGAGATCAACCGTCAGCAACTCTGTTTGGTTGTCAGGACTACGTTCATCAAAGATGATAGTCGTACAACAAGCAAACAATCGTTTCTACGGGACTCACATTCCCACACAAACGCGAAAGGGCTTTTCGGCTCTAAGAACGAAGAAATGCGCGACTTACCACTTCAAATTAAACCGTCGAAATTAACGTGGTTGTGTGCTTGGTCATACTCACAAAGCTGAGTAACTATGGCGATGTCTGTCAACTAAATATTCCAACCACTACAGGCGTTCCTACCGTTGAGTTGCCTTCATCAACAGCTTAGTAGCCACTGTTGATCATTTTGGGATTACAGCCTAGGATACAGTGATCAAAACTTCCCGATACACCCAAACAATGCAAGGGCACATCATGTGTGAGATTTCAGTTCCAGATGCAGTCATGGTAGCTTTGTGCGAGGATCTAATTCGCCGCTTTCCGGAAGGTTAGACCGTCAAAGAACGCAGGTTCGAAATGTTCATGTAGATCTGTAAATAAACTTTGAATCCGGCTTGACTCGCCTAATCAGCTGCATTTGACAGTCATAATTTCAATGTTATTGGACATTCAAAGAATCATTCGGATGTGTAAACCCGTTTTCCTTTGACAAACCAAGAACATTTCCCTTGTTGTCCCTGCATATTCAAGATAGTGACCGGCACAAACCTACCAAGCCCTTCAAATAGGACAGCGTTGTACCCTTGCGTGGTATGGGTGTATCTTAAAGGTTTGGTTACTCTACCCTAGGCCGCGATCTCTACCAAACGATTGCCCGTGGGTAATAAACGACAAGAAAACCTATAGAGAGCAGAAGCTAGAGGAGAAATAATTTGAATGTTTTCGATAGTGACTTTTGCGGTAGAATGTGATAAGCTCGGATTCATAATCATCTTCATCGAAAGTGTCAATATCACCCCAATGACATTAGTGTTAATAAGAAAGGCAATAATAATAATATTAATAATAGTGATGATAATAATAGTCCAGGTTATTATCGAAAATACAGTTTTCAGTTTGATTCTGTTGGATTCCTCACCTTCGTGCAAGAAAGCGCAAGATGAGCGTTTCTACTGAACTTAAAAACGGGTCACCATAACGTACCACATGTATCCGATTTCGGCACGAGTGATTTCTGAATTCTCCTCCGGGCTGAGCATGTGATCTACTTCTGTGCGAGTATTCTGAATCCATCGAACTATCTCATTGACTGTGGTTAACCATCTGTGTAGAGTAATCGCTTCTTCTAGTCGTTTCCGTCTGCGTTGCATCCGCGTACGCAACTCGTTCATCAACCCAATCAGGTTATCGCGTGGTTTAGTCAGACGAACTGTCCATTTGCCAGCATACAATGGCAGTAATTGTTCCGCAGTTTGGTTGATCATCTGCACCTGCATAAGCAATTTGTGACCCAGTGTGCGAAAAGATGTAATAATAATGCCAAAGTTTTTACTTCCATTTTTAACTACACAATAATGGCACATTTCGCTAAGGAGGTCAAGACGAATTAGGACCTACTGAAAATGGTGTCCGGTGGTGGAGGGATTGCTCAAACCCCGGAACTCCAAGTTCTCTATGACGACCACTTCATCAAAAATGGTTAAAAGTAACCATTTAACTACGCCTGAGGTAGACAAGCAACGAGGTGTCAAACGGAAACACATGAAAGTTTAAGCCAGTGAACAGAATATTAGATAAATGGACGGATAGAAAGAAGATAAGCATGTGGACAGGGGAACATCGAGTTCGCATCAAAATGCTCCTCCTGGTCAGAGGAATCGCTAGCAATACAAATAGTCTGTGTTTCGTGCTATTTTATAATCAAAGCAATGATAAAATTTACTAACAGAACTACCAGCCGAAAAGGAATCGGCAACCTTCGACCCACTAGACGGTTGCACTACCTGCTGACCTATCGCACTACGGCCGCTAAAGACGCGAATCAAGCAAGTGAATATCCAATGATTTGCAACTACTATTTCAGTGGTACAAAGCAACTGTCCTGATTTTGATCAGTGGAATAGCACCATTAAGTAAAGTGTTTGCGGATCACGGTATTCCTGAATTCGTTATTCGAGCCCGACTGACCGTGGCGTGATAACGCAGATGGTAGAGTAACTGCCCAGCAAGATAGCTGGTTTTACTACAGATTTTGAATGAGAATATGCTGATGAATTCCCCATTATCTACTTGAAGTAATCAAGTAAAATAGTCACCTGTAGTTCCGTTGCTTGGAAGTCCTGTTCGAATGCGTTCTGTTGAGAGACCTGTTGACAAATGATCTTGAAGTCCGCACCAACGTCGTCCGGAAGCTGTGTGGCTTTCTCCCTGATAAATTCGTGTAGTTCCTACAATTATCGTCAAAGTTGGAGTGCCACAAAATGAACTGTGAGTCATTGAGTGAAGGTTAGTGAAAATGATTGCGACATACACTACTATATGCAATATTCCTTGAATTCCTATAGAGATTTTATTTCTTGTTCGATCCATGTGACCAGCGTCAACTAACCGGAAATAACTCAGAATGACTTTTGTCTACTCATCAGTAGTGTATCTCGAATTTACAATCACAATGATGAACCCAGTAACAGCTGCGGCGAGTGGTCAAGCAAGTCTTCATGATCGAAAAGCTCAGGAAGCATTGTAGAATGGGTTACATTTTATTACAGATCGTAAATTAGGTATTCTATAAAGTCTAATTATATCAAGAAGTTGTTCGTTGAACCATCAGCATTGACAGTCATAATATACCCCAAACAATGAGAAGACGTGTAAGTAATTTTGAGACGTGTGCAAAGACCAGTAAAGTAATGGATTTTGAAGTCTCTACATTTCTATAAATCAAACGAGTAGTTGAGACAGTCAGTTCTTTGGATAGAACCAACATGGAGGGAGGGGGTCATACTAGGGCAGGATGAACATGCTCCTTGTAACTGCCCTACTGTGCTAACGACTACATTGTTGCGTTATGCTGTGACCACGACTGTTTTGGGTTACAGAGAGTAAATTTATGTTACCATCTGCCGGGATTGTCGATTTACGGGCTTACTACCCCCGCTGTATACAGCGCGAAGCTTCTAATTCGGTTCGAGACATTAGTCGGGGCTTGGTAGATCGCTCTGAATGACCCGACGATATCTACTGACTGCAGAGCTTCTAATAACCTTTGTTACTCATCTCCCGACTGTGCTCTTCTGTCTTATTGATCAACGATCTTCGTAGTTGTTACCACGGAGGCAGATAGTTGGTAGGCGTTTGGCAAACACTTCTTCCTGAATTTTAATCATTACACTTGAATGCTGACTATCTCATATATTCATTTGCATGGAAAATAAAGGATTTTTGAGAATTCTTGGCTGACGGACTTTTTTAATAACCAGTTCAAACCTCTTATACAGGCAGTAATCTGATACAATACTTAGGATTTCTGGCCGCTTATCGACAGGCTGACAGTTGTCTACTTCTATAGACCACCCGCTATTCTAATCATATACGATACCAATTTACTTGTGGAAATTCCCACTCTGTCCAAGCGTGGTTCAACTATTTGTGCTCTCCATATGTAATTTCCACCGCAATCAATGTTACGACTAACCGTCTTTAGGGTATGTCATTATAAAGAAAAAGGTTAACAGGCGATAAAGAAGGAATATCTTAAATCTCTCACTCTCAGCACATACACGCACATACACTCACCTTGCTTGATTGACGCACACAGACTCGGTAACTAAACCCACTACTCAGTTAGGGTTACGTCACCATGCGTAAACTGACGACGACTCAATTGCATTCAAAAAACCGGAGTGATATAATGTTACTTAAGGTCTCTCACATAGTGATCTCAATTTTCACCTGACCAAGCAAACGAGCTAGGCTGAACTGTGTTCACTACGATCATTCACGGTCTCACGAATGGAGTAGTCTCCGTACAAACGGGGTTCTGATGAACGACGTAAGACAGTTTCTTGGAATCACATCTGGATTTACCATTATTAAACGAAGAGTGAAGTGAAGTCAGCATAATGTACATGTATATTTCCTTGATGAAGAAACAAGTTCATACGGATCGAAAAAATGCTCAAATCTTTTCCGCTAAACGTCCATGCATTTTTGAACCCTTCCAACAGGATTTTTTTTATTTTCCGCATCTTGTGTTGGTATGTATCCTGAATTCATTTGAATGTTTTTCTCCAGGTTCTCCAGTGTTTTCGGCTGCGGTATGTAGACCATACTTTTCAATCTATTTTATAAGAAGTCTTAAAGAAATAGATCAAGAAATCTTGCTGGCCACGTGATAGGCGCGCCTCTTCCAGTTCACCGACCAGGAACCTGCCCATCCAACCACTACCTAACGGGCTTTATGAAGTGAGCCGGAGCTCCACTCTGTTGAAATTATATACGGCTACGTTTATCATCTTCCAATGATGGCAAATATTGGAAGAGAAATTGAGATAACATTTGCAAATATGTTGAGCCATTCACAATTCCAGAGAAAAAGTACGGTTCCATAAGGGTCGTACAATGTATGCCGAACCATGCGACTACTTTCGGGGGTAAACAGTGATGCGTATCCATTACAAAGCACAGACAGTCTCCAGCCCAGTAGATTTGATTTCTACTATTTACTCCACCATGAAGATGGAGTACAGGTAGTCTAGAAAAATAGAGTCCTTGCACAAAGTTAGTCGCGTTTTCAGTGACTCAACCAACCGTTCGAAGAAATGCATTCTTCCCTCTGTCACTATTTTAATGCAATACCGTGGTGAAATTCAAATGGATGAAAGCATGGGCGGAAGTACTCATAAAAGTTGGTACATCAAATTTCAAGCAGTAATCCGCTTCAACAACATTCTGCTGGGCGAGATCCTTTTCTTCGGCTGTCACAGGTCTGCGGATTACTGAAACCTGTATCCATGATTTTGATCCTCGGTTTCTTCACGGTAGACTGTACAGGTATCATTCTCTCGGAAAGTAAACGTTTGAATTCACCACACGTAGCTGACGAACTGCGTTTAACAAGACCAACATCGATTGCATTCCATTTCCTTGGTGAGTTCATTATCATCATTTGTACTGAGACCACTCCATTCTTGAGACCGTGAATGATCGTAGTGAACACAGTTCAGCCTAGCTCGTTTGCTTGGTCAGGTGAAAATTGAGATCACTATGTGAGAGACCTTAAGTAACATTATATCACTCCGGTTTTTCGAATGCAATTGAGTCGTCGTCAGTTTACGCATGGTGACGTAACCCTAACTGAGTAGTGGGTTTAGTTACCGAGTCTGTGTGCGTCAATCAAGCAAGGTGAGTGTATGTGCGTGTATGTGCTGAGAGTGAGAGATTTAAGATATTCGCTCTATATTGCTCGCTTTATCATGGCGCGCGATATATGTTTCCCTTTGACTCAGTTACCTGGAGCAGGTAGAGTAAACTTATATCCGGCCTGTCTCCTCTGCCGTGTGCCAATTGGCTTGACTACTCTCAAAATGTGACATATTTATTAGCACTTTCTGCCATGTCACATCTGTGCCCTTATAATTTATTGGCCTTGTCTTATAGTGTCCTCATCAACGAATTCCGGCCTCCAACTTATGTGATTTCTTAAGCAACCTTTTTTCCTACTCTTTTCCCTAGTTCACTAATCCACGGGTTTTCACACAAAATCCATTAGGATCATTGTTCACGCATTCGTTATACTTCGCTGCTGGCCTTCCGTCGACTAAGTAAACCTGTGTTTTTCGTTTTTCGGCTATCTTCGACCACCATCTGTCCCACCCCCAACCCCAAATCCTGTGTCTCGTGAGTTGAAATGCCATTCCACATTGACGCAGACCAATGATCCTGATTGGTCATCCTTTACCACCAGTCTCAGAATCACCGGCTCCCTCTGCTTGTTATTTAACATAGCCCTTATCCCTTCCGGCTTCTACTTGCTACCCCATTTGACGAGTGATTCTATCTGCCTTGCCTCGTATGTATTTTGTGACTGAGTAGCCCAGAAACCGATGTATATATCCACTTGTGCTTGAATGTCATTCTTTGGTAGCATACATTGATTGCCGAATTCGCGTTCTCTGACTAAAGAAACGGGGTTCGTCTTCTACGAGCTACTCAACCAATGGACCACCGTCCGGCGCACTAACGAAACAACCTTCCCCACAATTCAATACAGCATTGAAGATATGTTCTAACTGATCTAATCTTATTGCTTTAACGAATATGTTTACCTCACATCGAGCCAAATATGTATGACGTCGAACCGCGTAAATCAACTGAACCCAACGTGTTCGGATTAGTTCATTCAGATCCGCCCAAGTCTCTGTCAGTCGATCTTGCCAGAATGCAATCTGTGGGGCATCGGAATGTCGCGTGCGGATCAAACAACGACACATGTTGACCACTCTAGCCATTCGTAGAGCACCCCCGGTGAGCCCGAGCATTGATTCTTCATCTACTTCAGGAATCAATGCATTCGCTTCCTCTTCAATCGAGGTTTGTGCCTCCTCAGGATGAGTCAGCGATTGGAGTGGGATCCCGAGGACGTGACTGGCAAACTGACTGAACTGGTTCACAAGGTGCAGACATTCAGACAGATCACGTCCCGTAGTGGGAGCTGCCGCGATTGTAGCCTGTTGATGCATCCAAGCCTGTTTGAAAATAGCAATTCCAATCAGGATTTTAAAAAACTAAGCAAATTACTCAGCCAAATAAATTACATATCAATTTCAAGGAACTAGAGTCAAAACACAGAAAAGCATGAAATTTCAACGCGGTTTATTGCGTAATTTCCCCAGAATTGGTTGGTACTCACAAAACGAAGTGTTGTCTTCATTTATGAGTATGAGTGGGATGACCAGGTTGGATTACGTTTGACGTGGTGTTAGACAGTCGATTTCTCTGAAGCACCTAACCTCAGAGTGTAATCAGACAGGTGTGTTTTTGGGCTAGCCAGATATCAACATTGTGAATAGGACTGGTCAACACTGGATGCAAATAAAACGTTTACGCTCCTCGCCTTAGAATGATGGAGCATTCGTGTGCGCGCTGTCTTGATGACAACTGCCTTCGAGCAATAATGACTTAAGTGCTAAGTCACCGATTTTTCTCCACGAGTATATTCGATTTCATTGTCATTGAACTACAACATTCAGGGTATCGATTCTGTCCAGTCTTCTCCGGATAAGTTTGTCTTTGTTTTAACTTGCTGCTATCCTCTCTGTTATATCAAAAATCAGCAATTAGAACGTAAGCGGAAGTTTGTATTCTGAGCACATCTCACGGAGACGGGTTCAGACCAATAACTGTCAGTATAAAACAAGGTGAACAGTGATATGGTCTTGTTGTGTGGCCAACCCATGTGTCGTTGACATTCGCACGTGATTCATTCCGGTCCCGTCGGCCTTGCATTCGCGTGAGCGATGTCTGTCTATCCCACACTCTTCTTCGATCTTCTTTACCAATCACATGCGGTTAGGTGCACGTGTGACTAACATTGATTTGTTGTTCCTATTCGCTTGACACATTATTATGCTTGCGCTTGCCAGTGGATGATTCACTTGTTTGCCCCTTTGTCGGCTTACGTGCGCGTTTATTGAAATACTAATAGACGGATCTATTGCGTACTGTGTTCTCTGAATTCTGAACACAGCAGATCTAATTCGAGAGTCAAGGTCACATGACGTACTATGTGTGATGGCCAGCAGTACAGAGAAGGAATGAGGATGGCGAACGTATTGAGTGTCCGGTGCTATACATGATCCGTGGGTTCCAGACTTTTGGCCGTCACACAACTGGTCACTGGACATGTCATCATCGAACAGTTCGGCGATTGGACATTTGATCGATAAACTTTCAATCAACATATACTACCGTGTTTCCCCGAAGGTATGCCCGGTCTTATATTTAATTTTGCCTCAAAGATTGCACTAAAACTTATTCTCAGGGGCGTATTATTTTTCAGATACCAAAGAGGAAATTTATGGAGGAACAAAACTCTACTTTGATTCAAATACAGTTATGTCATCTTCTGGGATATGGTAATAAATTTCCAAATCCTGCATTTCCTGTGGAACCAGTGATTCCAGTTTGTCGTATCCAGCAATAAGGCCTTCCCTAAATGAACACTTAGCGATCTGGAGATGATGGAGCTTGCCTGCGTAAATTCACGAACAAAATTGATTGCAGATAAACATAACTTATTAGTACTTAACTGTTGGCAGTTCGCCTGCAGTTCGATGCCACAGGATTGTCCGTTGTTTGTCTGCTTACTGCAACGACAATTGGTTTCTGCCAACTGAAAAACACACATTGACTGCTCTGCTTGCAGACGATCTAACCTTACCTCCCCCAGCTAGCATCGTGTCCGGTGTCACTCTAATACGTGAACGTGATCGACATTGTTTCAATACAGCTGTACATAATTCACGCCGCATTGAGTGGGAACCACACAGTTCCGCCGGTTTATTGCATTTTCCGTAGCGGAACGCAAGCTATGTATGATGTGATTTTTGAGACGCTCAAACGAGAAGAACCCAAACTCAACTATATTTCCGTAACAATTAATCATGAGACAGCTGTGATGAACGGCATTGAAAAAACTCCCCCAACCCTAACATGTATAGATGTTCCTTAAATGGAGCAACTAGCATCCGGCACACATAAAAGACCAACGATAAACAAATATTTGCCCATCAATTACCGCTTGCATCGTTTAGCTGAGCAGCATGACGAGCACAGTCATGTACAATTTTTCACGTAAAACTGCTCATGACCTATAAAAAACTACTGTTCACGTATTTCGATTGTTGTCCAAGTGTACATGCGAGAGGCCACGTTGGGTTAGTTATGATGTTAGCAGATTAGTTTTAGGTGTCCAGTGCTAACCTAATGGTTAGCATCATTTAGGCTGAACGGGGTTATGAATGTATCAGCCAATTGATGCGCCATACGTTATGTTTCAAATAGATGTTGTACTATCGAAACTCAGTGTTGTCGGTTGATAATAGCCAATCCGCGGTGGAATGCAACCACTTCTTTCTATAATAGGTCTAGAAAGATTACTGATCATTGCTGATGTCACATAATTTATCATAAAAATTTATAAATAATACATTGATAATCAACGCCTGATACGGTAATTAAGGGACTCAACGAGTTATAACGTATGTCAGCCCGTTAGGATCTATTGGGAAGGCAATCTTATAACGATAAGAGTAGTGAAATTGGACATTCAAATGCACAAGGTTAATGAAAAAGGAAAGAACGGGGAGTGCAAATGAAGCAAAAGAGTGTTTCACGAAGTTGCACCGGACTGTCCAATTGCAATAAGCCTAAAGCGAAAATAAACCCTAGTGGAATTTTTGAAGCAAAATTAAATACAAAACAAGATCTTATTTTCAGAGAAACACAATAGGTTATGGTAATTACAAGTTTGTTTATTGTCAATTCGACGAAATGTATGGCGACCAAACATCCAGCGACCAAATCTCCGGCTGCCTAATGTCCGGTCACGTGGTCCGTGTGGACCAAATCTTGGAACGTGTTCACAATCTGGTTTGCTATTTATTTTGATCTTCGTTGCACGGTTTGCGACAGATTGACGCAACGACTCTTCTTCCTGTGGTGTTGTCTCGTTCCACACAAGACACTGGAGGTCATCTACCTCAGCAGCAAACGATGATTACTCAATAAGCTTAGACCACTCATTATTTGCAACCAAAACCCTGATCCATGCAAGTAACGTGAATGGTTGATCTCTTCATCTCTGCCTTGATAACACTCATTTCAATCAACCTCTCCTTTTTTCCCATGATCGTTGGATATCGTTCGAAATTTTGTCTCTAAATGCTTGTTTTTCTTGACCTTATGAACAATTACCGTAACTGCAGTAAGCCCTCTGTGAAAGTACAGTGAATCAGTCCTGGATACAGTGTTCAAACCAAAGTTTTTAGCTTCTTTAATCAAATTCGTGTAGGGAAAGAATTGTCAATTCCTGATGAGCAGGAATGGATTGCAGTCACCCGACACCATAGACAGGCATCCAGTTTGGTGCTAATGTACCAGCGGGGTTCGGATGCAGAGACCTCTTCCTCCCAGACCTGCAGCTTCTCTCAGTGAAGTTCGTTACATCGTGGTATCAAGCTCATCCATAAAAGGTTCTAGTGACAAGCCCTGGTAGGCCTCGATTGGCTAGAACAACTGAGTCGGTCTGGATTTTTGGTACAAAATTTCAAGCCTCTTCACAGACTGGATGTAGCACGTAAGAGTGTTGCGCATGCCCCCATTGGCAGATCGGTCATGTGATGTTTGCTTCATCAACATTCTTACTCCAATCAGAGTGGTGTGCCTAGGCCACTATGCGGATGCACAATAATAACTAGTCAACACTGCAATCGATCTTTCCCTCCCAATAGGTGCCTCGGACGAAAGCTTCTGCCAGGCACTTTACTTCCCCATGGTTCCGGTTTGACTGTAAAATTTGCGAACGACACTCAATCTTCATTTTGAGGCACACTCACAAGCTGTCGTTTTTTAAGCAGTTAGACAGAAGGCGTGGGGCTAATCAACATGTCGGAACCGAACGAGGTTTGGAGAGAACCGGAAAAACGATACGCCATGTGATGTGTTAAACGAGAAAATGTCGATAACACGTCGTTGTCACTGGGGTAATTATGAGTCGACCTTTCGGCTGTCGTGGTCAACCTTTCACAAGGCAGTTTTTACAATCAAATGACTAAGTATCCACTAACATGTCAACGGAAGAGTGTGTGTGTGTGTGTGCGAATTTGTTCCTCGATCAGATCGAATGAATTGTAGTCACACTGGTTCCCAGTATCCGAGTCCATGATGACGAGGTCAACTGTCGATGTGACCTTTGGGCTGCTTATTCATTAGTGATGTCAGTGTGGTCCGAAGTCTTGGGAACCACTGCCCCGTCATTTCGGTTGACGCATACAGGGTGGGCAATAGCTGTCAGAGCTTCGGCATACAAACGCTCAGTTCACGTGTCTCAGTCCGTGTTGGAGGATTTTTGTGTTTTCATAGTCTATAATGTGCCCTTCATCAATGATGTGAAGAGCGATCGCTGAATCCCGCTCTAGTTTCCCTAAGGGTGTCATGTTGGAAGGCTTGCATTTTTCTTTTCTTTTGTGCTCCACTATTCTGATCTCAAGCTGTTTTGATGTTTGTCTAATATATTCAGCTGGACATTCCTTGGAACTGATTTTGTAAATGCAGCTGTGTTGGTCTTGTAAATTAATTGAATCATTGGGTG